AAGAGAAAGGAACAGACGGTTACAGTTACACTTTCAATCTTCAAGTTTCAGGAACCACATCAAATTGTGTGAATTTCATCAGGATGGGAAAATCTGGGTTTTCATCCCTGAAGGCTCTCAAGGGTATGGCTTTGCATCCTTCACCTCTTATTTTAAGAAAACTTTTGATTTTCTTCAAACATTGGTTCCCCCTCCCCCTCCTTTTTTGGATATGGCTGTGGTGTGTGCCTCGATTTCTAAACCAGCATACCAACCACCTATTTCCATCTCTGCAACTCTTCTCTCTTGTGAATTACCCGGTATTGATTCCCATAAGCCTTTAGAGAGTACAACCTTTCAATCTTCATGCTTGTTATCAGCGCATGAATCTTTCCCTCCCCCAATCTTGCCCCAACCTCGTGCGAACTCACTCTCAGCTTCTGCTCAAGAATTCACCCCTAGAAATCCTGATCCTACCACACTAGCCAACCCCCCTCACTTCTTAGGATGCTCTAATTCAGACAATGACCTGTATTCTTCACAATGGGGTTATAATGTGTGTTATAACTCCGGGCCTGAGATCAAACTTTCTGGCACCAGGCCTGAGATCAAACTTTCGGGAAAAGCTTTTAAACCTCCTTCATCCGAAGAGGAATGGGAGACAGATAAAGGTTCTGAAGACGAAGATTGGCATGCTAAAAAAGAGGCAAACTTAAAGAGAAATAATAAAAAATTCAACCAAATTTGCTTGCAAATCCAGGATTCTTCACTCCCAAGAAGAAGGAGTAAACGCCTCTCCGATTTGAAAGCTCGAAATAAAGACCTGTATTAAGTTGGTTTGAGTAGATTGTTACAATTACTATGATTCTCTCTTTTTTACTCAATTGATTATCAACACATTTTGGAGTTACTTGGTTTGTTTTCCGGATTGCTTCTTTTGAAATTACTTCAAAGATTGGTGAAACCAGAATGCATTTGTTAAGGCCATTTTAGGATTCATGTTTTTGGCTCTCGCCACTAAAATTCAGAACACTTGGTTTATTTCTCTGGAATGGAACTTGCAGCTGGAATTTGGAAGCAGATTTTTGGTACTGCATCAGTTGTGTCCTAGCATTTCCTTTAAGGGCAATCTCTTGGTATCCATGGAGGGCGTCAGGATTTCTAGCACTCTCAAATGATGGACTTCACTAACAGAATCCACTTCAACATGGGACATTGGAGTTGTATTTTGCAAGTATCCATAAACTCTACTCCAAATGGAAGAAGACAATTACAAGTTGGGTCGGGAAGCACCCACTTTCTAGTACTTGGTTTTATGTATTTGCCTTTTGGAGTTTTGGTGTTTGTTTCTTTTTCCTTCGTATGTCCTTTTGTATTTGATACCTTGGCCAACTTGTTGGGGTATGGGCCACCCCCTCCTTTTGTATTTTGAATTTTAATAAAATAATCCTTTATATATATATATATATATATATATATATATATATATATATATATATATATATATATATCGGTATTTATATATATAAATATATCACCGAATGTTTTACATATATATTCCAAAATATTTTATTTTACTATTTTACAAATATACAAATTACTTATTATCCCATTGTTTAATCCTACTCCTTAAATTGTTCAAAGTGTGTGACCCGTATAGGCACTTATAAAGCTGGCCACAGTATTGGCTCTGCACCAATACTATAAGCAATAAGCGGTATCTAGCAACACATTATTGTCCCCAGATTATAAGTTAAGATGTTTGCACCGTCAAAATCTTTCCACGACTCAGACTCCGTGTAACTGTATCCCTTTGTCTCAATGTCTAAACTTAATGCAAGGGATTAATAAAATCCAACTTGTATCCATTAAGTCATTCACTGATTTATCAAGTCTGACTCATAGGAACAGACGTCATAAAAACATCTCAGCATGGCCATGCAATTTCCTCAATCATAACGTATCAGTGGGCCCCATAAGACATTAATATCTTTTAAAAAGAGTAGTGACAAATCCTATGTACGTAATCTACGTTTCTGAATACGCGCTGCGGCATACCCAAAACAAAGCCTGTATACCATCCTTATTTCATATGGCTTAGGAAAATGCATCAAAGTATGCGGGTTCACATATGCAGAAAACGTAATACTTCAAGTCGAAGGATAGTTACACCCGTGGTCACGCTAAAGATGCATAGAGCATGAACTAAAAGTTCAAGCAACATCTTTAGGATGGGTCAGTCCGACATCCTATTATCTCTAGATAATATCTGCCCATGTGCGGATGCGAACACACCGTCATTGACTATGAGACTAAGTCAAACATCCAACACACACTAGTCTCACATGCATTAACGATATCCCACTCTCATTAATACTCGACTATGGACATTTAGATAAATATTTATTTCAAGATGTTAGTCTCATCAGCAGAATAACACTATCTAATAAACATCTTTTAAATATAAATCTAGGAATATAATATTTGTTTACATTAGCATGAGATGTGTAAACATATTATATCTGCCTATACATGATAGGATAACGATGAACAGTTGGCCATCAGGGCACAACTCCAACAACAGCTCATTTAGAACAACCATAAGGTAGGTTGAAATTAACAAAAACATATATTGACATAGTGTCATACACATAATAGTGAGATAAATTTGCGACTTTAAAAGTAGCAAAAGGAAGATAGTTTCGTTTTTGTAGCTTCTCACAAAAGGATAGCGTTGCTCCCAACATTAGAAACCAATATCTCGTTGTACTGACAACGATAGGGTTACTACAGGAGCTAAAGAAGCTACACCTAGAAACCAAAACATCATTAAATCTCACCACAACATACAAATAGTCGTAAAAGGTAAAAGTATCAAAATTTGCAAGATAAGAAAAGGATAAACAATCTCTTAACCTATTGACATAGGCTTTGGGAAAACCTATACACGAGGGTCACACTTCGTGCATGAGGCATACATGGAAACCATAATTGGCCTTAGTGTTAGTGGGAGATTGCTGAATATAAGTGAGCCCTAGAGGCCAAATTATGATTCCATATCTATATTATATCAAGAACAATAGGCCCTAAAGATTGTTTAAGTCGTCTCATGTGATTTAAACATAGCTTTAGTCGATAGAGTATGCGCTCTAGTAACACAGATGAGAACTATGATGTTCTGATTATGAGGCTGTTACAAAGATGGAGGCTACGTCTAAAATATCCTTAGTCGAATATTATGACAATGCGGACATCATAATATATCAAGACTAATACGAATGAGATGAGATAGCTGCGTCTCATAGTGTAACACCCGCCTTCCGTGGACCCGGTTCACCCGCGACCCAACGGACCGGTAGGGTTACATGGGCGTTCCGAGAACCGTCCGTAACGTAAAACATTAATAATTATTTAATAAGGAAAACGGTTGGGTTTTCACTAGCGAACTAAATGCCAGGGAGTTATTCTCAAAACGTGTGTAATAAAAGTGCAGAGTAAATGCGGAAGTAATAAATAAGTCCAGTCCAATTTAAATACGACAAGGGTGGGTTCATGCCCAAATAATTAATCAAGTAAGTGAAAATAAATATGAACTCGTCCGAGCACCGCCCATCTCCCCATCATCACTGCTCTCCAGGGTTGGCACCTGCTCCGTCATGTCTACCTGCGTGTAGCAAAAACAACTACACGCTCAGCAAAAGCTGAGGAGTGAATCTAACAAAAGAACATTAAGTGATAACCCATGTGGCTATACACATATTAATACCTGTACTTAACGTATGGGAAACCACTTGTTACTAACTGTTTAGTTTTGACCCGTTAAAGCTATTACAAATGACAAGGTGGTTGGAACATTCATGATGATGATATGACTTGATGCATGACTCTAACTATCAGGGACACCCCTGGCTTAGCCTCACTCGGCAGGATCACCCCTGCACTCCGGTCATCGTCCCCGAACGGTAACGAGCCGGGCACGACGAAGATGTCGCGAGTGGAGTAGCAAAACCGGGTAGTAGCCGTAGCCTGACTACTATGTACGTACACAAGCCCAACATGATGAAAACCCGTTGGTCCCCGAAGGTTCCTGGACGGGCCCACTGTAGTAGGCGCACAAAGTCCTCCCTACAGCGGTATGCACATGATGAAACCTAGGACATGCGTCTAGTATGAACATGATGGATGCTTGATATTTTACCTTTGGTAAATGCCAAAAATATATCAATTATATAACAAAAATAATGAGGATTAACATTTCATGCAAAACTACCCGGGAAAATTGCCCGCGGAACGGTCTTCTGTCTTTGGCTCCGTTTTGTCCCATTTTGCAAACTTAACACCTTGATTCTTTTTAGAATGATAATAAAACTTTGATGAATATATTTCTAGTTTTCGAGTAATCCGTTTTTCGAGTAATCCAACTTACGAGAAATCCAGTTTTTCAGAAATCCAATTTCCAAGAAATCCGGTTTTCTGAGAAATCCAATTTCCGAGAAATCCGGTTTCTGAGAAATCCAATTCCCGAGAAATCCAATTTCCGAGAAATCTGGTTTCCGAGAAATCCGATCCTGAGATGACCGAATTTGATTCGTTTGTTTCCTAGTTTGATTGCTTATTCATTTCCTTGTAGGATTTTTATTTCTCTGTCTATTTTGGGAATCTATCCTCTCTATAAATAAAGGAGAAACCTCTTTCAACTAGGAAGAACAATTCAATATACAAAATATTTCTCCCTTATTGATTCTACAACGTTTTTGATGGTTAACCTAAGAACATGCATAGATTCTACGTAGGTTGCGTACGATATTTCTATGAATACAACGACATAGATTATAACTAAATGTTCTAGAGTTAGAGGGTACAACTACTCACCTCTAAACGAAGGGGTTGACGAAACTATGAGACGAGATGAACAAACGGTTAGCAAGGAACCAACGAACGGACAAACGACGACTACGCTTCGCACGAACTGCCTAGCCCTTCTTCTCCTTCAACCTTGCACCCGCCGGAGCTTCGCCGGAGGTCCTCCTTGCTGCTGGTCTGGCCGAACAAAGGGGAGAGGAAGGTGGATGGTGATGTTGACTATGGGAGGTTACAAAAATGGTGGAGGAAGGGAATGGGTTGGGGGTTTTTAATTGAAACCAATTATGAGGGAAATGATGGAGACTTAATGGGTCATGAATGTGTGTGTGAGTGAGTAACGTGAGAATTGGGTGGGGGTTACAAATACTTATCCTACTCCGTAGTGTAAAATATAAAATTTTTTTTATATAATGAACGGTCGAATATAAGCAGGGGGCCCGAGGCCCGTTAACCTCGTGACTACCCCGGGGCCCGTTAACACCCGGGGTAGATAGCCCACTATACAAAGCCCAAAGTAAGCCCAGCCCCATAAGCCCAAATCTACTTCCCAGGGGGTCACCCATCATTTCTGCTACTCCCATGCCAGCACGCTTAACTCTTTAAAATTCCTCCAAATTTGCATCTTCTGGGGATCGAACCCGGGTGGTGTGGTTCGCCAATCAACCCTGTGACCATCTCTACAGGGGGAACCACAATATATATATATATATATATATATATATAGACATATATATATATATATATATATATATACATATATATATATATATATATATATATATATATACCACCTCTACGGATCAACAAGCCAGAATGGCGAGAGCTCTGTCCATGAACTGTGGTAGTCTCCCCTTCACCTACTTGGGAGCTACCCTTCGTAGGGGTATTCTTAAAAAAGAAGACTGCAATGGTCTTTTGAGCCATGTCTACAAACACCTCTCCTCTTGGTACAGCCGAACTCTCAATCAAATGGGAAGATTAATCCTCATAAAACACGTCCTCTCATCCATCCCACTCCATCTCATTGCCGTTCAATCCCTCCCAAGATCCATCATCAGAACTCTACACTCCCTTATGGCCAACTTCCTTTGGGGCCATAAGGATGGTAGGGCTAAATACCACTGGAGGAACTGGAACTTCACATGCCAAAACAAGAATGCAGGTGGCCTAGGGATCAGGGACCTTATTCACATTGAGACAACATACTCTCTCAAACTTTGGTGGAAAGCCCAGCACGATCAACGTCTATGGGCTAAACTTGTCAGAGCAAAGTACATGAAGAACGGTAACATCAAGGAACGCCTCCCAGATTCCCCAACTTGGAAGAGAATTTGTAGAGTACACTCTCATGGTACAACTCATATGCATTGGAACAATGGACAATCACTTTGGGATAATGGACAGTTCTCCCTCAAACTTGCTTTTAATGCCACTGAAGAGAAACTCCTGGTACTCCTCTCAACCAAATTTATTTGGCACAAAGCACAGATCCCTAAACTGCGTTTCTTCCAATGGAAGATCTTCAACAACTGTCTTCCTTTCCCCAACAACCTCAGAAGATTCAACCTGGCACTACCTAGTCGTTGCAGCTTCTGCCTCAACAACGAGGAAAGCTTGGATCACTGCCTCGTGAACTGCACCGAGAGCAAAAAAGTATGGAACTTTTTTGCACATCTAGTTGATGCTCCCATGCTCACCTCAAACCTGCTGCTCNTGGAAGGCGCGTAACGCATATACATATGATGGGATAAAGATGAATCCACACGGAACTATCCACCAAATACGCAAGCTCATTCAAGCCTGGGCATGGACTCACCGGCAAAAGAAGTGGTTGATTCATGACAAAGACTTTGATGATTGGGAGATTGATAAATTCTGGCGGAAAGGATCAAGACATCAGCTTCATTCTAATTTTTAGACCTCTTTTGTATTTTGTTTTCCTCTCAGAACAATGGTTGTAACTCTCTTTATCTCAATAAAGTTCCTTTTATTATATATATATATATATATATATATATATATATATATATATATATATATATATATCTGTGTGTGTGTATGTATATATATTGTAATATATATTATATTGTGTACATTTTACTTTGGAGTGTCATTTTAATTATGAAAATAATTATTTTGACAAAAACTATTTTAAAGTATATTTTATATACTTGTTATAAAATGCTTTGGGTATTTTATTTTATATCATAAAAATTATTGATGTCAAATAAAATATACTTTGAACATTTGAGAGGAGAAGAATGAAATTCTTCCCCCTTCACCTTTTTCTTACTATGCATTAAGTGATGGAGGTCATGGAGCTTTGTCTCCCACTTTTGAAATGAGTGGAGGAGAAGTTTTGACAAAACCTTATTTTGGATTCTTTTTATTGTTAATGTTTTATTTTATTTAATAAAATGAATCATTTTTTCTTCTCCACTCAATAATGATTTCGGCCAAGAGAAAGCAAAAAGAGTGAGAGAGAATTTTTTTGAGTTCTAAAATAATTTTGGGTGTAGAAAATTATTATAATATTTTCTTAAAAATATTATTGATATATTTTCAACTATTTAATTTACAAGATTAATACAATCCCTCTTAAATCTTTATATTAAATATACTATTATAATCTTACTCGCATAAAGATTATAGTAGACTCCGGAGATTGTTCGTGTGTCAAAGTTGGAGGTCATATACTTGAACGGCTACGTTTGCTCATTGAACGCCTTTCCTCGATTCAATGTCATTACCGTTATCCGGAGAAGGTATAAATTTCTATCTCTAGCTATAGTTTTAGTACGTGTTCTTGGGCTAGTAATCACTATTGGGAGTTTTAGTACGTGTTCTTGGCCCAATTTCGCTGGTTTTCGGCCCGAACGTCGATTTTACCTTCCCGGAAGCTCGTTCGGCAGGGCTATCTACGGTCGACCGTTTGACGGCGGCAGTTGACCGTTCTGCTGACAGCCATGGTTTGTCTCGAAGTTTAACACGACGGTCGACCGTTTGGGTCTGCGAATCTTACTCTTGATATTTTGGGTGTTTAAAATACTTCTTTAAGTCCTTTAAACACCTTTGATTAACATATACATGTTGTTGGGTTGATTTCCACTGTTTATATATACTTATGTGTCTATGAACATTATGGATTTGGTATATTTTAATTTCAAGACATTGATGACTTATATATGTATCACATATATTTTTTTGGGATAATTTAAACATATGGATTAATATATATGTTCATGTACGTATGTGATGAATGATTCGACAAGTCTAACGCAAGGTTACAGACCTGGAAATAAATGGCCGAAACCTTGCAAACGAACGAGAGTGAAAACAACATCGAAATTCACCAACTTTGTCATTCCCGTCACAATTGGACCGTCTGCCGTATTTTGGGCATATCTCCATCGTTTCTTCACGGAATTGTAAACCGTTTCATTCTGTGGATTCCTAAGATGTAAGGCTACAACTTACGAATAGAAAGTATTTTGAGTTAACAGATGTAAGATAGCGTAAATCGGACCTGAAATCCAGGGACAGTTGCTGTCCAGGATTTCGGATATGTCGGTGAACAACGATTCCGACGATTAACTCATTAACTTCAATATTCCAACACCGAACCTTATCTACGATACCTTCCAGATGTTCCTAATAATCGTTAGAGAGTTTATGGTAAGTGTTTGGAATGAAACAACATGAATATGGTGAGGAAACATAGCCAATCTCGAGGAACTCGCCACCACTGGAGCAGTTTCGGTATTTTTGCCATATATCCTTCGTTATTTAACAAAAATACGAACTGTTTGTTCGGTTGGATTCGTATCATTTGGGGCTACAACAATTGTGGATAAAGATTTTCGAGATAATGAATGGAAAATTTCTGTTTTTACCATGAAGTTGCTGCTGCGTTTTTGGACTCAAGATTTGGAAATTTTGGATGGTTTCTTACTTTTTCTTCTTCCTTGATCCAACTATGGAGGAGGGGCGGTGTTTTCTTCTCTCCTTGAAGCTGCCGAGAGAGAGAGAGAGAAATATGAAGAGATGGTGAATGATTATGTGTGGATGGTGGGGGTATGGTGATGATGATGATGATTAATATAAAGTAGGAGATATGGGTTGGTGGAGGAAAATGGGGTGGCTAAGAGTTGAAATGGAAGATTGCTGCGTGATTTGGGAGAGATTTTAGAATACGGAGTATTAGTTTTGGACTTTTGTCCAAACTGAACAGTTTATTCCAAACGGTGTGCACTTTTTCGCCCAAACTGCTCCGAATTGAAAACGGATTGCGTTTTTGGAATGAGACTGTCAAAACTAGAATATTGACGTAATCAAAATATTTTTCTGAAAATTTTTATTTATTTTAGTGTCATAGTCTCTTTCAGTCATAAATTAATTTAATAATATGAGTGAGATAAAAATATATGAATTATATCCCAATGATGAATATGGTATTGTTAAGTGTCAAAGATTTAGATTTCTAATCTTATGAAATCACTTTTGAATTGAGTTTATTTTATGGGTCAAAGTTACAAATTTTAATATTTAAAAGAGTCATAAATTAAAATCTATAAATCGGATTGGTTCATAAAATGTATCGTTGGATTCGTCTCTTCGAGGCATATCCATAAAAATAAGTTTTTAACAAAAAGTCATTATTTTGAAATTCCATTTATTTTTGGTCAAATGCATAAATATTCCTTATTGGACAAAAATTACTTTTGTTTTATAATAAATTTTAGGCCATATTTTGTGGCGTTACATTTCTTCCCCCCTTAAAGAAATTTTGTCCCCAAAATTTCCATAGGTGAAGTTATTTAAAATAATGATGTACAAATCATAAATATCCATTGTTTTTGTAAAACACTAATTTCGAGAAGTTGTTTTCTATTTCTTTTGTTGAGTGTCATGATTATGACATATTCTCTTTCGAGAAAGGATATACGCGGATGATAGATGTAACGTGTTTGAATTTCTTTCATGAAGACTTGCATCGAATATACTCTTAGACTTCATCTTGCCATGTTGTAGAAGTATTTAGGAATTCTTATATGGGTTGCTTTTCTTCAATGTGGGGTAATTTACAAAGTTTCCCTTTTACAATTCTTTTAAAATCATTCTCAGACGACTTTGCCTGGAATGTTGGTTTCACAAATTACGCTTCGTTGTTTACAAGCTGGAACGAATTGTTTCTAGGTTTGACGTTTTTACATAACAATATTTTGGGGAATGACTATTATCATAATCATCATTCTAGGTTTCTTAGATGAATATGTAATTATAGTTTCAAAACTTGAACTCTCATTAGCGATCCTCAATGGAGTTGCTCTGACTAACATGTTGTTTGATCAAATCTTGTTTGTAACAGTGAACAAATATATCACACTTATGTATAACAATAATATATGTTTTTATCATATCGTAATGATTGGATGAACGTGTTGGATAACACTTGCTATTTTGTAACTGTTTGCCTTATTAAGATGAGATGTTGTTATTCTTGAATACTGATTTTCTGATTGACGATTCTAGAATTGCCTTGGAATTTAAGACGTTCTCAATAATTATGATAGAGCTTCGTGCTCGGAAAATTATAATATTAGTGTATTTTTCATATCACTAATATTCTTCACACAACAGTTGCATTACTTATTGTCGAAAACATGATAAATTATATACGTAGTCATATTCTAATATGTTTGGGATTCTACAGACACATGCGTGGTTTCTCTTGGTGATTTGCCCAATTGACTTGGGTGGGGATCACATTCACCTTGTCTGGTCGTATTCGCCACACAAGTGACAACTTTTCCTTTTCCTCGTTCTTGGAGATGGATCAATTTGTAGATTCTGTGTTCGTTTACGTTGAGTAGATGGTCCTACTTTTGATTCTTTCCCTTTTCTCGAGGGTTGTCTTGGTTGATCCTCTTGATTTTGTGCCATTTCAGATCGTTCTGCCAATCGTACTAAGGCTCGAAACTTCATCAATGATGACACATTCATTGTTTGTCGAATGTGTGGATTTAATTAGCCCGACTAAGAATCTTCCACTAATTTGTTCTTCACTTATTGCTCTCTCTGGCAAGTAGACAACTACGTTCTGTAGGATTTCTGCAAATTCCCTCACAGTGGATTCACCTTGTGTTCTTGATGAGAATACGATTTCTACACGATCACGATCAACTGGCGAAAAGTGGTAAGAAATAAATTCTTGTACAAACATTGGCCATGTTGGTTGGCCTTCAAGCTTTTTCTTAGTTCGTTCCCACCATATACGAGTGTGTCCGGCTAACAGATCTTCAGCAATATGTTGTTGAAATCTCTCAGGCATCATCAAGTCATGAAAAACTTTAATGATTTACTTGAGCCAGGAATGTGTTCTAGTTGCATCGAGATTTCCATCATAAACATCACATCCTTTGTTGATAACATCAACTAAAACCTTTACATAGTCAGAGTTTGATGGGTCGATGTTACCTGAAGGTAAAGGAACTTCTCGAGTTGTTGAAGGAGGCGTTGGCGTTATTCGTGGATGGTTTGGAGTTCGTGTCTCCCTCACAGTTGGTATTCGATATGTTGTTGTGATTTGAGGTTGTATGGGTGTCATTGATGGTAAGCCGTACTGTGTCATTTGTATTGGAACTCGTACATAAGCATGCTCCCTTGGGGGTTGGAGTATGTTCTCTATTTAGTTTTGATGTTGGCGTCTTGTGGACTGGGGAGAAGTCTTGGCCCTTCCTCTCAACGAAGCCATATTTCGTCTTGAGTTTTGATGTATGTTTCTCTCTATTTTTTTTCTTTTGGTTGTGTATGCTTCTTGCAATTCTCATCTTGAATTTATAGTTGGGGTTGAGATATACGACGTTATTATCATAGATGCATAGCCTTTTGACTATAGGATCGTCTTGAAATCTTTGTCATTATTCAACCGTGAATTGAATATGACGTAAAGCACCAAATAGTATTGCACCTATGGTTTGATTACTATAGGAAG